CTTTGGTTCACAGCCCACGCTCTATCCACTGAGCTATGCCAGCCAGGGCAGCCATATACATTCTAATCTATTTATATTTATTGTGATTACTGACCCACTTAGTTTCATTTCTGCCACCTTATTTTGTACTACTGACTATGGTTTTTTTATTTGTACATTTTTTATTATGAAACATTTAAAATATAAAGGTAAGACCAGAACTTAATATGAGAAATACTCAGGTTTATCAAATCTTAACATTATCATATTTGCTCCAGAAAAATTTTTAAAAGAAATAAAACATTGCAGGTGCAACTGAAATATCACCCTGATGTCATTACCCCTATCCCTAGAGAAACAAATTCATAAATTGAATGTTTATTGTTGTCACCCACATTTTTATTCTTTAACAGATTTACATTATCTATGAACAATATACAATACTGTTTGAGGTTAACTTCACAAGAGCAGTTGCACTGATTGACATTTCCAGCAGCAGCATGTCCTGAGCAATCTTGGTTATTGGCAGGCTTACTCCCTACATCATAGGTCTGTCTCCTCAAGAACTATACTCACGCCTGCAACACCCCTCTGTTCTGTATCATTTTAGCCCTGTCTAATGGATCATTCCTATCAGCATACAAACATGCTCTGGTATTTTTTATCTTAAAAACAAAACCAAAACACACATCAACCTAATATCCCCTTCCAGCTATTGACACTTTTTTTACTTTTCAATGCAAAGTTTCTTGAAAAAAGTGTTTCTACTGTTTTCTTCACTTCACATTCTTCCCTCCACCCATTCTACTGACACCACGTAAAGTGTTTGATTACTTCCACATTATCTTGATCTTGCAGATGACATTCAACACAATACTGCCTCCTTTTGGAAAAGTCTTCCCTTAGTTTCCTTGACATTGCACTCCTATATCCCTGACATTTTATTTTCAATTCTCCTTTGCCCTGGGTATGTTCCTCAACTTAACTTCTAAAAGCTGGATTAACCTCAGAGCCCTCTTCTAGGCTCCTTTCTTGTCAACAGTATGGCAGAAGATGCTACCTGGCCACTGAACTCATTCTCCCCTTTTAGCTACAGCCTGGCACATAACTGGCTAGCTACTCTTCATTTCTCAGAAGCCTCTGCAATTATCCATGACCATATGACAAGGCTCTCACAACAGAATGTAAATAAAATTGGTATGTGCCATTTTCTGGCCAAAGCTTGTCTTTCCTTTATACTTTTTCCTCTTACCATGCATGGGTCAGAGGACTGAGAAAAGTCAGAAGAGGCTACCACCTACCTTTGATAAAACAGACCACAACCCAAGTGCAACAGAAATAACAATATGGGAGGAAAATGATCCTTGAATGATTATGAAGCAAAGCCCCCTGATGACCAGGAATATAGACTGTTACACAAGAGAGAAATAAAGGTCCATCTTGTTTGAGCCATTATCCTTGTTTCTTTGCTATGGAAGCTTAGCCTTTCAACCTAACTCATATGTGTACTCCATGGGTGACCTCATCTAGTCCCTTGTCTTTAATGATCACTTTTGCAAAGTACTTTTAAATCCAGAGCCAGATCTCGAGCTCTGACTTCCTTCCAGAACTACAGACTTACATGTCCAACTGTTTCCTTGACATATCCACACGGATGTCCAAAAGTTAATTGCAAACTAACAACTAACAAAACAGAATTTCTGATTCTTCCTATCCTGAGCTCTAAGCCCAAAGCTTTCTCAGTTTTTCTTTACTCCAATCACCATTCAAGGTATGCTGTCTCTACCTCTAAAACATACCCCATTGTCCTCCTCTCCAAGTCAGTCCGGCCTCCTCTCAGTTCCCAGAACACATGGAGCTCATTCCTGCCTCAGAGCATTTGTACTACCAGTTCTCTCGGGGTAGAATGCAGCTCCTTTTATCTTGATAGTGCTAGCTCTGTGGCCTCATTCTGGTCTCAGATTCCATCTTCTTAGGCTGTCCCTTGGTGATCTGCTCCCACATTGCTATTTAAATTCCCTGCACAGAACTTACTGCTAGCTGATACTTCTTTTTTTATTTACTTACTCAACAAACATTTACTAAATTCCAAACCATATTCCAGGTACTGACCTAGACATAGATACAGCTATTTACAAAAAAAAAGTGGGCTTCCATCCTAATATGTATAGTAAAGCAAATGGTGATAAATGCTAGAGAAAAAATAAAGGCATGGGGATGGGAGTGCAGGCACCAGGGACTACAATCTTAAGTGGGATGGTCAAATAAAGTTTCACTAAGAGGCCAACTGATTAAAAACCTAAAAGAGCCCTGACTGGCGTGGCTCAGTGGGTTGGGCATTGTCCTGCAAACAGAAAGGTCACCGGTTCAATTCCTGGTCAGGGCACATGCCGGGTTGTGGGCCATGTCCCTGGTTGGAGATGTGCAAGAGGCCACTGATTGATGTTTCTTTCCTCTTTCTCCCTCTCTTCCCCTCTCTCTTAAAATAAATAAGATATTAAAGGAACAAAACAAAACAAAAAACAACCCTGAAAGAGATGAGAAAGCAGAATAGGTGGGAATATGTGGGAAGAGGTTTCCAGGCAGAGAAGCAACAAAGACACCGAACTGGGAATATATTTGACAATAAGGAGAACAATATAAATGGAAGAGTGATGGAAGAGAGCAGGACGTGAACGTAAAGAGGTAATGGGACCTAGATTACCCATGGCCACGTATACAGGAAGCCATTGGAGGAACCTGAACAGAGGTATTTTGAAAATACACTATATGGGTCAAGGATGAAAGACGGGGAACCAAATTGTAAGCAAAATAATGCTGCTTCTTCAATTTTCATAAAACCAGCCTCCTCTTGACATTTAAGCCGAAGTCAGAATGGCATCCTCTCAGAGGACTCCCCTACCCACCTGATCTAAAGAGAGGTGACTGCCTAGGGATGGTGAGAAGCAGTTGAATTTGCAGGTGTTCCAGCATAGACCTAACAGACTTGCAGGATCAGATACAGAGAGGGAATGAAAGAGAGGTCCAAGAATGTTCTGAAGTTTTAGCCCAAGCAATTAAAAGGCCAGCAATGAAATTTATTGAGATGGGAAAAGCTGATGAACATTTGAGAGAACTAAATCTGAAATCAGGTTTTAGATAGTCAGTTAAAGACTTATCTATTAGATAGTCTATTATATCTGTCAATAGAATTAACTGTCTATTAATAGTCTATTTATTAGATATTTAATAGGTATAAAGTGGACCCACAAGGGAATATGCCAGTCTGGATTCAAGAGAGATAATACAAGCTGAAGATGTAAACTTGGGAATCATAAGCATATGGGTAGTATTTAAAAATGGTATTTAAATATTGGACGGAATCCCTAAATAAGACCACCTCCAGCTTCCACTCTCATCACAGTATCCAAAAAGTATCTAGAATAATCTTTTTAAAACAAAATATAAGATCAAATCACTCCTCTTTAATATCGTCTCTGCACTGGGAATAAAACTTAACCATGGCCTATAAAGCTCTAAATCATCTGACTCATCTATCTCTCTAGGCCTGAGTCCCATGACTTTGTCTTCCTTTCTTGAAGGGCACCATATTTTCTTGCCTCCTCACCTTTGGACAGGGTCTTCTTTGCCTAGAATCCTCTTCCCTGGCCTCTATATGTTACCTCCTGCTGATCCTGCAGCTCTAAATTTCAAGGTCATCTGCTGAGGCCTTTCTGTAACATCCAACCTAAACGTTTCCTCTGTCAAGTTACCTCTTTCAAAACACCTTCCTCAACTGAGAGACTGAGACTGATTTACTGTGTGTCTGCTCCAGTAGACAGTGAAGATAGTAAGCTCCATGGGTGCGGGGACTTTGTGTTGTTCAGTGCTCTCAATGCTGAGAGCCTAGCACAGTGCCTGGCAAAGAACGGACTTCAAAAGTATTCTTTGAATAAATTGAGACAACAGTCTATTGTGCAACATGCAGTTTGTCTCATTATACATAGAATAATGACAAAAAAAACCCACTTCAAAACTGTCAAACAAATTAGACAGTTCTGGGTTTCACCCCTCAGCACTGCTTTCATTCATTCACCAAATTTTGTATGTACTTCAAAGGAATTCTTTAATTTACAGTCATAGTTTAATGGAGCCTTTAGGGAAAATTTAATTCTCAGCTGAGAGAGGAGAGCAAAGTTGGTGAACACTTTTCTGTCCTAGGTTACTCAGTGGCAGAGCTGTCATGTAAACCCAAGTCCCTGATTTATTACAGTTTAGCGCTTTTTGCAAAACCAGTTTTTGTCTGGTACTTTCCTCTGAAGCAGTAAGAAGTGATACAAGACCACTATCATCCCAAAAGACACTGTTCACTTTGTGCAGGTATTTTTTAATGAAATGCAACAATCCACTACACACATACATATAAAATCATGCTGTCTCTACTTAAAAACTGGGCAGCTGTTATTGAAAGTGAAAATCAGACATATGAGTACTGTTTACAAACGAGCATCCCAGTAGTTAGTAGTAAACTTAAGTCATCAAAAATAGTCTTCTTCATTAAGGACCATTTAACAGTAAGTAATGTGATTTTAGGAACAGCACCACTCCTCTTCCCCCCAAAAAAGGAAAACTGAAAAAGTAGCACTAATTGAAGAAAACAACTTTTTCACGTTGCTTTTAGACATAAGACCCTCAATATTCTGAGAAGCCAGAACATTTCGTAACAAGAAACTAAAGGAACTTCCTTTTACTTGATTCACAGTGTACTCCGCCCACACCGAAAAGCGTTGCTTACGCAAACAGACATTAACTCGCATACGCTTCACCAAACGATTTTGGACCAGTGGACAATCCCCCCAATGACCTCGCGTGAGGAAGCCGCCTTCTCCCTCCCTGCAGAGTCGAGGAGCAGAGCGAAGCACGCAAGGGGCGCCTGCCTCACCGGCGCCCCGTAGGAGGCCCTTGCAGGCCCCTGCAAGCCCACCAGCCCCACCACAGCCCCTGAGACCCGGCAGGCTCCCCGCCGGCGCCCCCTCTGCTACCTTTCCGCCGGAAGAAGGACATGGCAGGGCCCGGGTCGGGTCGAAGGGCGCGGGGGGAATGTCGCGGGGAGGGCCCGGCTCCCCTCATTCAGCAACAGGCCCGGACGTCCGGGTCCGCAGCGGCTGCCGCACTAGCCCGAAAAGAGACCCTTCCTCCAGGTGTGGGCCCCACAGCCTCCTCGAGATGCCCAGAAAGGCCCTGCCGCCATATTATCAACAAGCCGCCAGCCCGGAGTTCCGGTCCTTCCCCGCGCGAGGCTTCACGGGAGGCCGAGCTGCCGGCCCCGCCCCCGTCCCAGGGTGTTGGGGCGCGCGCTCCTTCCCGCGCCGCCCGCGTGCCCCTGCACTTGTGCAGCGTACGCCACTACCCACTGACCTAGGAACCTGGCGGCAGTTCTGCGGTGGCTGGCGCTAGCCCTCGGTGGAGTGGTGCAGGCCCAGTTCCTGAGGACTAATCCTCCGGGGGCGGGAGCCTCGAGCTGGGATCGCGCGCCGCCATCCCAGGGTCGAGCATTCAGCTGCAGACACCGTCCGGAGCGTACCGTCCTAAAAGAGCAGGGCTAAGACCGCCGCGCTCCGGCCAGCCCCTCCCGTTTCTCGGTTTGAGTCTGGCTAAAAGGCCCTTGCGCGCCTGAGAAGCTTTACCCTTCACCGCCTTCCCTGCTCTTCCAGGAAAGCCGGCGCCCCCACCCCCACCGCGGGGTGAAGGCGACCAGGGTCTCTGGGTGGAGACTAAGAGGCATAACCTTTTTTATGCGACTTCACTGGCTCCCTCCATCAATGACCTTGACAATGAAAAAAGATTGGACTTGTTTTCAGAACGCAAGCCCTGCGAATGCTCAGGTTCGAGAGGCACATAAAAGTCTCGCCAATATTTACCCAGCAAACTCCGGTGAATTATCCTTCAAGCCTTGTTCAAATGCCATTTTCCTGTGAATCTGATGACAGTCTATTTGCCCCTAAAACAAAGGGAAACAAGCCTCCCCAATTTTACTGCCCTTACCACCCCATGACTATACCTAGGGACCAGGTAATGATTGTATCCTTGAGTTCCTGCTGCCAAGGAGCCTGGAAGATCACAGCAGCTACATAAAGGCAGACTGGGTTTTTAAAATCTATGAAGTCCATCAGGTGGCAGACAAGGAAACTGAGGTCCAGAGATAGCAGGCAACTTATCAACATTATTCAGTGTGTCAGCGTAATTCAGTTAGTCAGTGAGACTAACTACAGCTGGGGCTCTTTTCACCATATAATTACAGCAAATTAATTGATTTGTCTACTTTGGTTTTGTTACCAAACTCAAGGGGTTCACCTCTTGGGGTGCTCTGTTAAAAAATGAGCTCTGTCTGTCACAAGGTAGTTTTTGTTACCAGCAGGAACTCAGTTCTTGAAGGAAAGACTTCCATCAAGAGGCAAAGTGCAGCGAGGCGGGCAAGGATGTGTTGGTGGTGCACTCAGAAGGGACTCCATGGGCACCTTAGAGTGGGAATTCCTCCTCCGTTGCCATACGCAGGTATTCGTGGGCTCTTTTTTCCTGGATTTCTGCTTCTGTCCTTTCAGCACCCCTCTGTCACTTGTCTGTTCACGTGGTGTGTGACTGGAACTGGTGGCCTATGTGGCTGAACAGTGTGCTGAGATTGAATCAGAAATTTGGTGACCACAAGTCTGGGTGTGGTGAGGCATGTCCAGTTTAGATTTGCCTTATGCTCTGTAGACATGCAGGAATGCAATAGGATAATCTATTCTCTTTCCCTTTTTTTGACTGCCCTGGCTCATATCTAACAAGCTACCTATCTTAACCATTTTGCTTCCTTGTAGCAAGTAAGGGAGACAGGATTTATGTCCGAAGCTCTGTCTCCCTGAAGGGAAACTTAGCTGTTGTTTCTATACTCTATGTGCTCAAATACATGCTAATTTCTTCTTGGCAGTTGGCTAGTTTACCAGGTTGGGCTCCTGTTGGTCTTATCCCTTTTACAGCTGGTCTGCAAAATACTATGCTGCATTTTACATTTTTACATTTAGCAAGAATAGCATTTAGTAAGAATGGCCCAGACCTTGAGATCTTTGTCTTAACTAACAATGCGTGGCATTTAAAGTACTCACAGTTGATATTTATTGAAAGTTTACTATGCACAGGTATTGTACTAACCCCTCCAGATTAAGGACAGTCTTTGGAGTCAGTCTTGGTATGGAGAAAACTAGGCACATAAAAATAACCTGCCCAGTGCTCTGGTCAGTGTGGCTCTGTTGGTTGGAGCGTCGCCCCATAACTAGAAGGTCATGGGCTGGGTTCCAGGTCAGGGCACATGCCCAGGTTGCAGGTCTTATCTCAGGTCCAGGCCCAGGTGCCTATAATCCCCTCTTCAGCCATGTGCAGGAGGCAACTAATTGATGCTTCTCTCTCGTGTGAGTGTTCCTCTCTCTCTTTTCTCCTCTCTCTAAAAGCAATGGAAAAATATCTTTGGGTGAGGATACAAATGATAATAACAGTAAAATAACCTGCCCAAGGTCACAAGCTAGAGAATGGGCTTCCAGAACCCAAGGTCAAGCCTGTCCTTGGGCAAGGGGAGTGCGTCTCAGCAGGAGCAAGAGACACTGGCCAAGGCTCTCCATGCCCCACTATATCCTCAACCTGAAATGGTGCTGAGAATGGATGTCTGTTTGGTTGTGCCCTCCAGGAGATGTTGCAGAGGGTTCTGAATCGTGCCCCTGGGGGTCAGAGAAGCCCCTGGAAACCAGCCTGCACAGGAGCAACCACTCTGCTGTCTGTGACCAATAAAACCACAGATCACGGCCCACTTCTCCCCTCCAACCAAAATGGAAACTTGCAATGAAGTTAAGGAGGAGCAGGGCTGGGGTGCTAAGTGGGATTTCTCTGCCGGGCCAGTGTAAGGGGAGAAATGCTATAAGCACAGGCGGTTAGATGCTCTAAGCCAAAGAGTGCAGTGCCCTTCTGTCTCTCATTCATTTCAGGAATCCAATCTTTTGGTAGTCTCTGTTTTCTGTTGGGAGGGAAGAGTGTAAGAAATGCCCTGAAAATTCCGGGATAGGAACAATGAACTAGGGGTATGGGAGGAGCACTTTAGTTTCTCTAGACTTTCTCAAGTGTTTCCTCATTCTCTCCAACTAGGTGTAGAATCAATGTAATAGCAGTGTGCTACCCACCTTCCAATATGATTGCTTCCCTGGAGCCCCTCCTGGCAGAATTCCAGAACTGCCTTTGTCACACCAGGCAGCCAGCTACATCTTAGTAGGGCACACCTCCAGTGTTTATGAAATACTTGTCATGTGCTCTCCCCTTATCACGTGCTTTATAATCACAGCCTCACTTAATCCTTTACCTTCTCCCCTATGAAAGACCCTATGAGGCAGCTACCATCATTACCCTCAAATCTCAGGTGATGACCCTGAGGTCCCAAGTGATTTACCCAGGATCCCAAGACTAGTAAAGGACTGAAACAGGATTTCAATCACTGTCAGTCTGACTCCAAAGCCATTTCCTCCCAGCTCTCTCTCCACCTCCAGCTAATACCCATTTATCCAGTGTTCCAGCATGGGGGATCTATTTATTGGGCAAGTATAAGGCAATGAGTGATATCCAGCTATGCATGTGCCTTCTGAATCATCATCCATTAAAGTGTGTATATACCTGGGGAAGCTTTAAGAGTTTAATCACTTTAATCACTTTTGAAATTTGGTGATCCACATATGAATAAAGTTAAAATAAAACAAGAATACTCCATTAGCCTGAATACCTAGTTGTGGCAAACTAATACTCTACATTGCATTTCCAAGTTAATTTGTTAGAGTCACTTTAATTTACATGTAAAACAAAATACATTTTTATGAGAAGGAGTTTCTTTAATTATGTTCCTGATTTTAAGGGAATCCTCACAGTCTTTTTATACCAATTGTATCAGTAACAACAAACCAATGAGGTAAAATCAGCAAGTCAGTTATCAAAACACCAATTAATAAAGTTAATCTGTGGCCCTGGCTGGTGTGACTCAGTGGATTGAGCACCAGACTGAAAACCAAAGGGTTGCCAGTTCAATATCCACTCAGGGTACATGTGTGAGTTGCAAGCCAGGTCCCCAATAGGGGATGCATGAGAGGTAGCCACACATTGATGTTTCTCTCCCTCTCCCTCTCTAAAAATAAATAACTAAAATCTTTAAAAAGTAAAAATAAAGTTAATCTATAACAAACTGATTACAAATCTAATGAACTATATTCTACTACAAATATTCTAACATGTAATTTCTATATCAATCATTCATAACCTCAAAGAGACTATTCAAACAAGTCTTTATGCCTTTTTATAAAACAGGTAACTCAGTTTTATGACAAGAGCCAAAATACATACAGGATAGGTAAAAGTAGGTTTACAGCTGTGAGTATGTGAAACACAGTTTATTCTTGTATTATTACTTAGTATTATATTATTTTCCATATGAGCAACTGTAAACCTACTTTTGTCCCTGCATATTGATGTCTTAAAATTCTCAACTGTCTAAACAAAGGCTAATTCTTTTTTCTGAAATGAGCACTTTATTAAGTTACTATCAATTATTTTTTATAAGTAAACATAGTCAGGCTAAATAGTTAACTGAAAAGAAGTAGAGAGTAAAAGGTGATTTTTAAAAAGATATATTATAGCTCTGGCTGGGTTGCTCAGTTGTTTATAGCGTCACTTCCATACCCCAAAACACTGTGGGTTCAATTCCCGGTCAAGGCACATACCTAGATTTCAGGTTCGATCCCCAGTTGGGGTGCATATGAGAGGCAATTGACTAATGTTTCTCTCCCTTCTCTTTCTAAAAATTAGTGAAACATATCCTTGGGTGAGAATTTTAAAAATACAATAAAATAAAAAGATGTACTAAACTTTTGTAGGCATGCCTAAATTTCAAATATACTACACACAACTTTTTATTTATTTATTTATTTATTTATTTATTTATTCATTTATTCCCTTATAACTATTTTTAATTTAAATTTTTTTCAGTTACACTTGACATACAAAATTAGTTTCAGGTGTATGATACAGTAATTACACATTTGTATAACTTATGAAGTGATCCACTGATAAGTCCAGTACCCATCTGGTGCCATATATAGTTATTGCAATATTATTGTCTAGGTTCCCTATGCTGTGTTGTATATCCCCAGGACTGTTTTTATAACTAGCAATTTACATCTTAATCCCTTACCCCTTTTCACCTATCTCTCCAAC